GGGTGCAATAAAATCATCTCAGTCCGGACTCAAGCACAATCATTAAGTTAGTATCTATGGAGTTAGCCAAAGCATTACTTCTCATATCTTGTCCTTTCACATAATGCCTTTCAGCTAGTGCATATTAGAATGGTTAATTAGCAAGTATACAATTAATTTTTAGCAATAACTTTATTTTTTACAACTTCCATTTTATGATAATTATTGGTATATTGGTAAACACAGTAAACCTCTATGCCTTACCAGATGTAATCTTTGTCTCCCATTTCTGCCTTCTCAATAATTAGCTGTGTGTCAAACAGCACAAAGCCACACATGATGGCCAGACCCAGATACACATGAGCCTGAAACAACAACAAAAAAACAACTGTTACACAAACTATCACACAACTTCATCCCCTGCTTTCATACAGTCACATCATATACCTTAAAGAGTATTGCTGAGGCGAAGAACATATTGAGGACAGAGACGAGCAGAAGAACAGTCAGCCCTGACATCAGAGTGCCTTGAAGAAAAATAAATCAAACCAAAGTTACAGGTCAAAAAACAAACAACTGTACATCATCAATGACCAGCGTAACTAGCAGATTTTTCAATGTTTACCTCCCAAGAAGAGATAACTTCTGCGCTGTGCATAGAGGGCGCTCAACGTGAAGCAGGCAAAGATGACAGAGGTGCCCAGGAAAGCAGTCAGGATGATGCTGCAAAAATGAATACAATCATTTGCCATGTGTTGAAAAATATCATGTGCAGTTCCACAGAGCCACTGAGTACAGTCAAAGCTTCATGGCAATAAGTACATGACACACAATTAAATTAAAATTCAAGGAATCAACAATCCCAGTTATTGTTATTCTTCTGAGTTTTATTCTGTTTTACATTCCATCACTTACTCACCAATGCTGCCCTACAAAGGCAAAAGACCTTAACTCGCTAGTGTGAAACTGTCACACAACTTCATCCCCTGCTTTCATACAGTCACATCATATACCTTAAAGAGTATTGCTGAGGCGAAGAACATATTGAGGACAGAGACGAGCAGAAGAACAGTCAGCCCTGACATCAGAGTGCCTTGAAGAAAAATAAATCAAACCAAAGTTACAGGTCAAAAAACAAACAACTGTACATCATCAATGACCAGCGTAACTAGCAGATTTTTCAATGTTTACCTCCCAAGAAGAGATAACTTCTGCGCTGTGCATAGAGGGCGCTCAACGTGAAGCAGGCAAAGATGACAGAGGTGCCCAGGAAAGCAGTCAGGATGATGCTGCAAAAATGAATACAATCATTTGCCATGTGTTGAAAAATATCATGTGCAGTTCCACAGAGCCACTGAGTACAGTCAAAGCTTCATGGCAATAAGTACATGACACACAATTAAATTTAAATTCAAGGAATCAACAATCCCAGTTATTGTTATTCTTCTGAGTTTTATTCTGTTTTACATTCCATCACTTACTCACCAATGCTGCCCTACAAAGGCAAAAGACCTTAACCAGGTAGTGTGAAACTGAGAAAAAAGACTTTAACGTTTTTTATTTGTCCAGCCAAATTAATTATAGGTAGGACACTGGAAATTTGGCAATTAGATGTTTTAGTAATGAAAGTGATCTACATTTAAAAAAAAAAAAAGTGAGCTCAAACTTGATTTCTACCCCTAGTTTAAAGTTACTGTACTCTGCCTTTGCATTGTCTGCAAAAAGTGAGAAGTCACATCAAGGCAAAAGGCAGTAACTTCCACATTATCAATATGTGGTTGCTGATCACCATTTACAAAATCATTATAGTAACACCTGAATAAAATCTAGTGATCATGGGCTCTCTCATATTCACTGCAGAGGATCCATTGCTGAGCAAGTGATGCAATGACACATTTCTCCAAATCTGTTTACATGAAGAAACAAAAGGATGTAATGGTGAAGGTTTATACATTTTCCCAAAATGGTCATTTTTGGGTCAACTATTGCTTTGACAACCAGCTCAAAGATTCAGCTCATCAGAGTAAAGCCGCGGTCACACTAGACTTTGAGCATGCGAAATTGTCACGTCACGCTTTTTAAAAACTTAAATTCAACATGTAACAAATTATAATACATCTAAAATGTAAAAACATACAATCTACTCCACTTTCCTGCAGCGCTGCAGTTTTAAATTTAAGTTCTTTTAATTCAGATAGGAGGTCACGCTTCACCAAGCCTGAACTTTGGAACGCAGCGAAATGCGAAACTTTTCACACAGGCTTGCGTTTCCGGTCTGACGCATTCGCATGCGTATGAATGGAAGTCAATGGAACTAAAAGTGCAGTGTGACCCAGTGCTCTGGGAATATTACCTCGGGTTGACGCTAATGACGTAGTCCATGAGCGGGCCGAGTCCAAGACCTGTTTAAAGCACAGATTGACATGTTGAGTTAAGTGTTTTAAACACACGATCTAGGAAATGAAGCTGTAAAAAATTTTTTATAAACATCTCACCTGTGAAGAAAGCAAAAGCAGCGAGGATGGCCAACCTCTTCTTCTCTGTCTGAGGGCTGTGAGGGGTCATGGCAAGCCAACCCATCATAGCCAGTGATCCAAGCATGGTCAGCCCACCCTGAAAGACAATATCATGAGATAATGCGTAATAGAGATCCGCTTTACAAGAATCTGTGTACTAGCCAAGGTCCTGTAGCTCTACTTCAGTGCCTTGCGAAAGTATTTGTACCCCTTCTTTTTCCCCCACGTTTTGTTATGTTGTTGCCTCATGTATGTAGATATTACTACACTTCAAGTGAAGTTAACGTGTGGCAAATTCATTTGAATTGGTATGATATGGAAAGGCACACACCTCTCAATAAAATGTCTAACAATGAATATCAGAGCAAAAATCAAGCCCTGAGGTCAAAAGAACTGCCTGTAGAGCTCAGAGATAGAGCTCAGAAAAACATCTAATGATATCTGGTGTTCTTGATGCTCAGACATTAATATTCTGGTGTTTAGAACGCTAATGTGAAATTCTGTGAGTACTGAAATAACTGAGCACTACACTGGAATCTGGCTGACTGATGAATTATTTGTGACCAGAAACACCAGAGACCGGAAATGTAAAGCACCGTTCCAGTCGGGCCAGACTTCTGCGTTTAGACAAAGGTGGATTAGATTGCGTTTTATTAACGTCTACACCTACCCCAACCAATAATGCAAAAACAGTAATTATTGTTGTACAGTGTGACAAAAATGAAGCTATAATGTTGTGTGCATGCCCCGTAGCCGCAGCTGTATCCCTTCTAGCCTTAACCACAAATCAGACAGGAGACTAGATTAACTTCGGTGGACTTACACTTGAAAAAATGGTGTGTTCCACGGTTGAAATAAAATATGTATTTGCATACATGAACCGATCATCTTTTCATATGTACTTTTTATGTGTGCTGCTTGAACTGAGGCGCTACAGTGATCTGTCACAACACATAAATGAGACACAAAATGGTATTTATTGTTTGAATTTCTTTAAAAACTTCTTTAACCTGCTCTGTCTTGTCTGTCTGCACATTGTCAGTTATCTCTTTACTCTGCAAAGTATTTTTCACTGCGTGAGAACATGTTGGCCTACTTCTAATTAAATTAAAAGTAAAATAGCCTACACAAATAACATTTAGACTGTGTTTCTGATTAAATAAAGCAGTAATTGATGTCATAAAATAATGAGTATGTTTTGATTTAAAGGTCATAAGCTATAGCTTACATGAAAAAAATCACAAACATGACACTTAACAATAATTTTATAAATACTGATTTATTCATTAATGTGTAATATGTTTTATTTTGTAAAACAAATCATAAACTCTAAAAGATTTTCAGAATTTTTACATCTCTTTTGCTTTAGACCATCTACATATGTTAAAT